GGCCTAGATTGGGGTATAATTCCCGTGAGCCTCCATAGAACAACAAGAACGCGTCATCAAGATGGCGGCGGGACTGTGCCCTTTCGATTTTTGGTGTTTTCGTCAAAAAATCCTTATTAGATCAAAAGTTATGGGCCAAAATATTACATGTACCCTTTACTTAGAGCTTTCACGTGGAAGTAAGACTTTGTTTTCAGCTATAATCAGCTACGCCGGCGTCCCTCAAAGAGACTGATTATCGGGCTTCATTGTTCTCGAGTGCAGTTACATGCAAATCCTGGCCGGACCGCTATTGTTTTCCAAGCTTGAGATCGAGAGGCGCGGCAGTTTTAAAAGTGAGAATTGACCAAAAATCTGCTCCGACTAGAAGGTTGTGGGTTTTGGGCGGTCTAAAAATCTTGACGTCGTAGAAGGGATTGAAACGATGTTGCTAGTATCGCGGTTTAGAAATTACTCAAGTATCGCGTTGGGGAAAAATTATGGGCAAGCTCACGGCACTAGATTTTAGCGAACACGGCTAGTGCATTTAAAAAAAAACGATAGACGATAAACAAGGACAAGAACAACAACAGCATTAGAAATACATGAAACAAAAAGAAAATGTCGACAGTTTACGGACAAGACCAAATATAAATCCAAAATAAATTGGGACTTCATGGGCAAAAGTCCGTAATAGTGTCACGCACCGCGTGCCGTCGCCAGCAAGCTACCCTGGATGCCAAACTAGTATCGGGCCGTTAGCCTTTTTCCTTCGGCAGCCGAGAGCCCTTCGCCCGCCTGCCTAAATTACCGCTACGGGGGAGTTGAGCCCGATGGCCAGCCAAACTCCCCCGGGCTAGACTCCCCCGTAGCGGTAATTTACACCAGCGGGCGAAGGGCTTTTGCGGCCCGGACAGCGAGTTTGGATTCCAGGGTACCAGCAAGCCGCTGCATGCACGCCAAGTTTTTCAATTTTGGGGCGCCCGTGGACCAGCTTACAGCCAAGCCCGGCGTCATCGCCCGCCCTTGGATAGGGGTAAATACCATCCAGGACGCAATCAAGAAAGGCATACAGACACCATAGCCTTTGATTCTAACGTTTGATCGTATTTTTGGCGCAAATGTTGACTCGAATGCTTTCAAAATTGTGGCGGCATTTTGTTCCTTTCTTTGACTATGCCTGCAAATATATAATTTATTTGTTTCCGAATTTCCGTTCCGTCTTACAGCCGTAGCACACTAACGCTTTACATTTTGAAGTACACATGCCACTAAACTTTCGACTGAACCTTTACCCCGGAATATAACAAATTTATGTCGCATTTCTCGTAGCCGTAAGTCGTTTGTAAAGCTGTAAGTGTAACTTCATGAGTATGTGTTTCCGGGCGGCCATTTTGTTTCTTTTCTGGACGCTTGGAGTCGCTGGCTTTAGTAAGTCTCATTTTTTTTCGATATTGTCTCCTAGTTGCACAAGATGAACGCCTTGCTGTGTCTGTAGATTTATAGATATCTTCTAAGCCGTAATTATGAGCTAATATTCATAAAAGCCATAGTGTAAACAAGCCGTGAAAGTTCAAAGCGTAGCAGTGACGCCATTGCTTCATGCTTTTTCCTGCTTGCGGTATGTTTATGCACGGCATTTGTACAAAAAACAAATACTTTTTGTACAATAAATTTTTATTTTTTGATGAACACCAGTGTATTGTTTGTTACTGTACGAATTACGTGTACGTTGTGTTCAAGTTGTAGTCAAGAACTTGTGAGGCGTGATTTGCGATCGTAACGTAACGAGCTTGTATAGTCCAACCAGATTCGGGGAGGGGGTGGAAAGATCAAACACTTGCGGTGAAATCTTTTATAGCGATGGAATAGTGACTGCTAAGTCCTAAAATTAACTGACATTTAACAAATCAGGAATTACAGTAAACCTAGAGGTAAAATTGAAGACACAGATGAAGGCCGAGGCATTGTTAAAACGTGCGAAGCGAAGAACAATAGGGGCGGAGACGAGGCACGCATATCAAAAGACAAGCTCGCGGGAAAATCTTGCTGGGCGAGGAGCGATCAAAACATTTCTTGTCCCCGCCTGCAAACCTGCGAACCAATCAGCTACTGTTGTCAATGGCTAAATGAATGATTGACAGTGATTATTCATGAGCAGCGTGTTAGGAAAAATTCGACCCGATTTGACCATCGTGTTGCGTGCCGATTACACCAAGAGAACCCAGTGTTTTGACTGCGAACACGAAAAAAACCCACTGTTCACAACACTCTGTCCGGAGGTCCAGACCTATTTTACGGAGTAATAAATTAAAATTTAAGTTATCTCGTACGGTTCTTTAAATAATCTTACATTCGGCCTATATTGGAATATGGGGATGTTGTATGGCACAGCTGCACTACTGCTGACTCACATCAGATTAAACGTTTACAATAAGAAACTATATAATGAACTAGTGTGTAAAAAATCTGTCCGACCGCCGACGTCCTCTCATTCTATTTTACAAAATTAATTGCTCTCTGACACACCCGCACATATCTGAGGAGCCTGTTACCAGCCTTAGTGTCTGATTTTACTTAATATAATCTTCGTAACAAACATTCAGGTAACATTATGTATAACAAATCGCTTTAAAAACTCCCTTATCCCCTATGCAACTTATAATTGGAACTAACTGACCCTAGCATGTCGCTCGCTGAGCCTCCCCTTGTTTAGGGAAAAATGATTAAAACTGTACGCCCCTCCCCAATTACTCACTCCTGCGCTTTACTTACACGTTTTCGGCTCGGTACACACAGTCTGCCACATGAAGGCCTGCAGGGGACTTACTTCCTAAGATATTCGGACCCGAAAAAGAAGCCAACAACAACCACATACAGTCTTAACCAAAGCTATTCTCTCGTAATTTAGTTTCATGTCCAGCTTGTCCCTGTGGTCAGTACTGGGGTGGGTATAGTGCTGGGGTTCGCGCGGACCCCAGCACCATATATTCTGTGATGTTTTTTTTTTCTTTCTGAAGATTTTTTTTCTGAAATTTTGGGTAATTCCTAAGTAGTCGATCTAGGTCGGTTGTGTTCTAAGAACCTAGGCTTGAGGGATCTTTCTGTCTCTCGAATATAGGTTTCCTTACACGGGCCCTTGGAAGTCTTTCCTTGACACTGTATATAGTAAACTACCCCACAATTGCTATCATTTGATGTCTTGTCCTTAGGTGCGACCAGTATATTCCGGAGGGTTCTAAAGTCAAATCCAAAAGAGGGCCACCGTGTCAACTGTGACCCTCACTCAGGTGTACGGACTGACACGGTCATCCTACTCCGAAAGTCTGTATCTGTATATGTGTACATGAATCTGTATCCTCGCATGAATATTTTTCTGTTCACGAATCTGTATCCGATTGCAAATACAGATCATAGAGAGATTCCTGGACAACAGGTTACCCAGGTAACCGGGTTCAAAAGTTAACCAGTAACCTATAAAGGACCTCCAATGACTTCATCAAACCCTCATGAGTATATGAACCATAGTTACCACCGACACGAAAGCATCGTTTTAAGAATGAATCACTTTATTCGTGAAACAATCTGTAATCACAATTCACAGTTCACATTATAGGGTACTATGCACGGAGTTCTTTAACGAAATATACACAACAGAATTTATAGTTCATACAACAATGTCTGATGTTCGGAGTTCTTTGGCAATTAGACCGAAGAACCAGCAAGATCAAGAAGAACATGCGACATTTACACTTCGCACTGAAAAGTCCAATGCCCGGAGTTCTTTTTCGATTAGGTCTCTGATCCAGGATAGATGTATCCAGCTCTTCTGGCTCAGTATAGTTACCTTCTGATCCATCTTCACCTTACTTTATAGAACGCTTCATTACTTTCTTCCACCATTAAAAACCCATATGTATGAACGAAGGTGACGGCACCTCCCCTGCATCGTACATATACAAGGTGATGTGATAGTAACGCCGTACAGCTCTCTAAACCCAATATTGGCCAGACTCCTCCTCCAGAATTTCTGGATGTGGTCATCATCCAGAAAAAGGCAGACGTGGTTCCATTGACTCGGATGGTTAACCTGACAGCCATGCATATGTCAGGCTTCCGACACTAGGCGACGAAATGTGGAAGCGTTCCGATATATGCATATTTCTCGGACCACGTTAATGACAACCGTCGAATCTACATGCAAGTTATAGCGACCCCCATCTTTCTATGGTTTCGGAGATCCTACTTTAGCCTTCCTACTTTAGCGAAGACTCGCATGCCTGGTCCATCTCCTTCTGCTAGTGTGTCCTGGTTCCGGGACAGGGCTGGGCTTCCACCGTCACCAGCCGTCTCCTCACATTGAAGCAAACCGTCTTCAAGGGACACTTGCGTTTCTGCTGATGTGCCATGGCTTTTTGGTCTCATCGGTCTCGATCTTTGTTCGCTGTCTACGGAATTTGACGCAGGTTTGTTACCGAAAAAGGAATGGTTCTCGTCGATTTCTGCTGTCACTTTATACAATTTTTTGACCAACACCTACAGAACCCCCACCAATCTTCGTAAAGTACGTCACCTACGTTGCATAAAAAAGTACAATTAAGCAAACAGACGAAAAGAGTTCTAATATGTTAAAGCTGAAACGCCACAGTATGTGCTTTTAACACTTTTATTGCGCATATAATTTTAGCCCGAATAAACCATTTATTCATTCATCCACCCATCCATCCTTCCTTTCATCCATTTGCATGGCGTCCTTAGTATCCTTTTCTAGTTTTCAAAAAGAGTCAAGAAGGCGTGAGAATTCATCGCAATCAGTAATAAAATGCATTGCATCACTAAAAAAATAACCGATAAGATACGTAACTATTGTTAAACCAATGGATTAACCGATAAAAAGTATAAAGTCAAAAATAAGGCACTGTATATATATAGTCATATATAGAAACATCTAGTTTCATGATGTAACTATTGTGGCTAACGCATTGGTTTATGTTTCATGATATGCTGTTCTTACATTTCAGTACTCTTAAGCCGATTCCTTGTTCTAAGTGCAAAGCAAATAAAGTAAACATTCAAGCACCGGACCAGAAAAAAAAAGAGGCAAGTTTAAAAAGATACGAAAAAAGGTAACTTAATTGCTTATTTTATATTGCAAATAATAATAATAATTAAAAAATACATTAACCCACGAAAAAAAACGATAAGGTCGACATTTGCTTTTGAGAAAACTCAGCATGGCTTCAACACATTTCACGACATGGCAGGGAAATCAGGAAAAATACATGGAAAAAATTATTTATACTGATATAACGATGGTATAAAGCGACATATAACCAAGAATGCAACAGTTGGATAGGTATCTCTTTCATTATTGCGTATGACTTTTAATTCAAAAATGCAAATTGTTGATTTACAAGATAACGCTCCACATTTCAATGCTTGAGCAGGAAATTCCAGCCTACCTACCCCAAAACACTTGAACGCAGTGTCAATATGGTATGTCTTTGTTAACCGAATTAAATCCAAACAGCCAAACAGCAAGAAGAATA